CGCTTCCGCCATCTCCTACCTCAATATACGCGTAGACTCCTCGTTTCCTATCTCATCTTCCCCCACTTTGACTACAGCTGTGTGGTGTATGATGGACTCTCGGTGGAGCTCCGCGACAGACTGAAAAGATTAATGAACAGTTGCGTGAGATTTGTAATTGATGCCCCGAGATACTACCATGTCTCTCACCACTACACTGAGTTAGAGTGGCTCTTCCCCTCCATTCGAAGACAATATTTCCTAGGTACATTCCTCTATCATATCATCAACAATCATAGTCCTTCCTACGCCTACAATCTTCTCCAATTCAATTCCTCAATCCACTCCCTCTCCACAAGATTTCGACCTTCCGACCTTTACATTCCTTCTCACAGATCTGCCTCGTTCCAAAACTCCTTTATTGCTCGCTCTGTTAATTTTTGGAATTCCCTTCCTATAAAAATCCGACATTCTTTATCCCTATCTACATTCAAAACCCTCCTATTCCAATTCCTGTTCCAAAAACAGTCAGATACCAGCTAACCTTTTATGTAAAATTACATTTTTTTTTTTTATTTTATATTTTTTTTTTCAACAGAAACACAGATTTTATTGTTAAGAAGCATTTACATTTATTTTTTTTTGTATTTTTTCTAAAAGGGTTTATTTATATTTTACTATTGTACATAGTTTTAAGTATCTTAGTATGGTTTCGAGAGTTTTGTATATAGATTATTTTATTTTATTTTGTATATATTATGTATAACTAATATTTTTGTTTTTGTTTTTTTATTGATTTATCTTTATCTTTACTTTTTATGTTTGTTTTTATCTAGCCAGATGTAAAATTTTAATTTCTGTACTTTTTTGTTATTCTGAAGGGACTTCGTCCCAGAATAAAATTATTTTCTATTCTATTCTAAATCTATCTTTACTTTTTATGTTTGTTTTTATCTGGCCAGATGTAAAATTTTAATTTCTGTATTTTTTTTGTTATTCTTAAGGGACTTCCTCCCAGAATAACATTATTTTCTATTCTATTCTAAACCTTTTATTCGAGCACAAGAAAAACGGTTTTTCTCCTGGACCCATTTTTTATTCTGTTCCAATAGATCTGGACGCATTGCAAATTCCAGTATAGTCTCCTTAAAGAATCCATGCAATTCATAAAACTGGTCACGATAATAATTTGTATATTTCTCATTAGAAAATATTTTTCTTTTCTAAAGTAGCTGCTGTTGGGAACTTTTTAATGAAGGAGAGTAATAATTATTTGGTCTCCGATATGATCATAATCGGAATTTATTCTGAGTTTGTTCTTAGAGAACTCATTTCCAAGCTGGAGGGCCAGTTATAGTAATCTGTTTTACATTATGACAAAGCTGGTAAGAATTAGCAATCAAATTAATGGGTTTAGGTACTTGTTCGACGCACAATTTAACGTTCTTTAATTTCTTAAAGAATACGTTGTTCGCTTCGGTGCAGTGTTTAGTAGTAATAGGTGTGAAAAAGAAAATAAAAAGATCGGATGAATGTGGCTTTTTTGGCTGTAAAAAGTTTACCCTAGGTGATCCGCGTTAATAATTTTTTTTTACATGTCTAAACCCATATACAGGGTTTCCCATGTGTGTAGGAAATTTTTTAAAAGGAGTTATAGCAGCAGAACTGAAGAGCTATAAAAAAGTTTATGTGAACAATAATTTGATTTTCAGCAGGAAATTAATGTTTTGTGATTTTTTAAATGTCACGATTTTTGTTGAATAGAAAGTGATAACTAAAATCTACTTAATTTAAGTAATTGAAAATTGCTTCCCTGTAAACTAGACAAAATTTATTTTATATAAAAATAGAGTTTCCTATTGTTAAAAACATTTAGAGAGGATTTTTGAGCGACTAACATCAGCTAAGGAGTGGGGGGAGATGGGTAGTGGTAAGGGAACAGGCAGGGCTGGGGGGTAGCACCCGATACAGAGGTGCGCTCCCTCCCCTCTGAGAAAGTTACTGGTTCCGCCACTGACTGTGCAAAAGGTCGAATATAGAAATTTTCAATTTTATTCTATTTTTGACATTGTGTAGTCTGCAAGTGATATAAGTAGTCTGCTACTATGGAAAATAGCAAAGGGCAATAAAACATACTAATAAATACTAAATGATTTATACTAATAAATCATAAAAAAATATTAATTGTTATGTTCTTCTGTGAAACACTCAATTTTTGCATATGATCTTTTGCACTAAAGGCTATGCATGTTCAGTAGGCACTGGAACTTTTTTTATCCATTAGGTAGGCACTGGAATCACCCATCATCAAATATGGAATCTGCTAATGCGGAACTCTTTCATATTTTAGTATTCGCTGATGAACAAAACTCGTTGATATCAAACCCGTATGTGTTGAGGGATTACTAAATTTCCGAAAACGGCTTCTCTCAGAGATTTTTTTCTCATACGAAAAATGTTAGAATGAAATCGGCGAGGAAGCTTTACTGACATGACTTTTTTTTTACTTGGCTGAAGTTTTCAAAATTATAATGCATATACAGCTACTGAATTAATATTGGTAATCCATAGTATGGATTACCATCTATCCATAGTATGGTTTTTTAGAGATATTTTTCATATATTATGGATTCCATACTATATGAAAAATATCTCTAAAAATATTACTGTTCGTGTAATAACATTTTTTATTTAATAATGTTTCAAGAATCATTTCATATAGGTAGTTAGATTTTTTATTTTTCCTCCAAAGTAAATATCGGTATATATATAAAAAGGTGGTGCGCGCAACACACAACATTCACTTACCGCTCTACTTAGAATAAAAATTATTTTTTTGCAATGCTCTGCTGTTAGAAAATTTTTTGAATTGCATTTTAAACGGAGCCAAAGCTTAAAGCTTACAGATAACAAGTCATTAAGACCATTGTAATTACAAAATGTCTATTTAATATATCGACGGTAGGCAAAAAAATCTAGTCACTCTATCTGCTTTTATAAACCACACAACCTTCGTTGCTTCTCTAAACCACAGAATGACTAACTCCAATTTCAACATTTTTGAGTAATGTCATTTTAGTGATATTTTTAGTTGAAAAAGTTACCTATGCAGACAGTGAGTAAGTTGATTCCGGAGGTGGTTAATGCAGTGTTGAAATATAGAACTGAGAATAAGGTATAAATTTAGGTACTTATTTCTTATGAAAGATGTTCTTAGGAAAGATACTTTATAAAATATCTGTAGAAAAAAGGTTTTTTTAGTCTCAACAATTAAAGTACATTTTAAATTTATCCAAATGTTCACCTCTTCAGGGAAAAAAACTAGAGACCACATCTTTTCTCCTAATTGTCCGATTTTAACGATTTTTGTTTGGTTTTTTTAGGAAATTACATAAACTTTTAAAAAACCATATACAATATCGACAAAAAAGTGTATACTTTTTGAGTTATTCGAAATTTAATTTTACCATCCCTCGTAACTTTTTTTCAGCTTCTTTTCGTTGAAGTATGTTATATAGATAAATTTAAAGGATGTTGAGAAAATGACTTTAGCGAAGTTTCATTGAAATCGGTACATTCGTTTAGGCGCTACAGTCTATAGCAACGCAGGTTTTTCTGCATTTTTATTTTTTTTCTCCTTTATTAACTTATCAAATTCTTTCAAAACATATATTTAGCATTTTTTCGTAACTTTGAATAATGTGAAATGAATAACTTTTTAAAATAAACCATATTAAAGGTACTTCAGAGGAAGACGTATATGAACATTGGGCATTTAAGCCCCGTAAAGTGACATCAATGGGGATAAGACCTAATTGATATTAAAGACCACTTAATTATACAATGATAAACCGAGTTTAATCAAAATCGTTAGAGCCGTTTTTGAGAAAATTGTGAAAATGTGTTTCAGCGCTAATATAAAGTTGCACTTCCGGTTAGCCGATTTTAAGGAAAAAGTTGCAGTCACATCCGGCCTATATACAACCTTATTAAATACTTAATATCAGTTTCGTACTACTTTTCGTTTTTGAGCTAGACTGCTAACATACAAACACATACACAGACCATTTTTCGGGACTTGGTCATTTCGACTCAAGGTACTTCAAAACGTGTATTTCCGTTGAAAACTCAGATTCAAATTTTTTCTCGATCGCAATACTTACCCTTACTATATATTACATATATATATGTAAGTGAAAGTTTTTTTTTTCCTCTTCCTCGCCTCTAAGGCTATACGGGGGTTTTCCCGGGGCAGGGAGAGCGGGCGAGGATTTAAAAATTAAAAACACCATTTCATGCAGGTAGTTAGTATCTTTCTATTTTTTTTCTTCATATTAATTATCGTTATATAAATGAAAAAAAAAAAAAAAAATTGGGCTGAAGCCCTCCAAAATTAAACCCTGCATCCGTTAGTCCTCAAAATTAAATCGTGGTCGACGATAACTGTTTGTTTAATTCACTTAAAAATCAGTTACATTACAGAAACTTGGATGTTATTTTTTAAATCAGTTTCTGAAATGCCGGTTTTCTGAGCATAGATCCTAATGGTCAGTTGCTCCCTTTTTACAGTAAATATGGTCGACCACTGTAAATTATATTGTTGTTTTAGCGTTAATTTTTATAAAAAATTATTGTGATATGGCTTATATTTTTAATTAAGCCTGAGTCTATTTATCTATCAAGAGATTTTGTGGATAATTTAAGTTTAAGATTGATTTGATTTATAACACTCGGTAGTTATAACAATTATTTGTATTTAGCACTTTTTTTTTATTAATTATGTAGTATTATTATTTTTTAAATTTTAAAAGTGTTCTATAAATCAACAAATGATTGAGAAAGAAATTCATTCATCGGCAGTCACCATAGTGACGTTCATCTCTTGCATTGTCGTGTTTAAACTCTTGTTTTTTCTGAGTCTACTGTTATATTGGTGGTGGTTATTATTCGTTTCATGCGATTTCTTTAATTATTTTTTAAACCAGTAATCAAATTTGTTTTATTTTACTATTCCTTGAAAAATGCAGAATAACTCTTCCATAAATAACTTAAACCAAGATGGCATATCCACCAATACTGCAACTTCATCTCTGTTGGATTTAAAAATCCAGCCATGTAGCCCAACGAAATTCAGCCGAAAGGTCGAAAAAGAAGAACTTTCTAATCTTAATGATCGCCTAGCATGCTACATTGAAAAGGTAAGAAGCCTAGAAATTGAAAATAATCAGTTAATTAAAAATATAAAGCTTTATGATGACAATACAGCAGCACAATTGTCCAGTGTGAGATCATTGTATGATAAAGAATTGATGGAAACCAGAGTTTTAATTGATGAAATTTCCAAGGAAAAGGCCAAAGTTGAGATGGATGCTCGTAGACTATTTATTGAAAATGAAGAACTTAAATCAGAGCTTGATAAAAAGAATAAAGAATGCCTCTTGTTTCAGACATCTCTGTCTGTTTGTGAAAGTGAACTATCAGAAGTCACATCCAAGTATCAACAATCTCTGAATGAGAAAAAAAGGATTAATGATGAAATTATATCATTGAAAGATGATAAAAACACACTATCTGTTGGACTGCTTGACATTAAGAAACAGTTAGAAGAAGAAATATTACTGAGAGTGGATAAGGAAAATGCATTACAAACACTCAATGAGGATATATCATTTAAAGAAGAATTATTTGAACAGCAATTGAAAGAATTGAGTAGGAAGAAAATGGATGAAATAAGTGAAATGGAAGTATTATGTCAAAAGTATCAAGATAAATTATGTCATAGCTTGCAAGATCTAAGACAACAGTATGAACTGGATTTACTTCACAACAAAGAAGAAATAAAATTGTTATATGACGAAAAGGTCCATAGTCTTGAAAGTCAGCTGAATAGATATACTGAATCAGCTGCCATTACTGCAGATGAAATGCAAAAAATGAAATGTAATATAGATGGATTAAATAAAAACATTAGCATTCTTGAAGAGGAAAGAAATTGTGCATCATCTGAAATTAAGAGACTTAATAATGAATTAGAGATGGAAAAATCCAACATTTTAGAAATTCATAATCAAAATAAAGAAGAAATTGCCAGACTTCTTAAAGAAATGGATGAGCATAACAAGGAATATGAAGATTTGATGGATATCAAAATTGCATTAGATTTAGAAATAAATGCTTATAGAAAATTGTTGGAAGGTGAAGAAGAAAGATTTAAGATAACTCCGAAATGTTCTTCTGAAACTCTCAAAGTACCTCATCGAGGGCCCTGTTTGAAGAGAAAGTGTCTATCGTTAGAAGATTCAAAAGAATGGCATTTATCAAATTATTCTTACACTTCCTCTACTAAGTGTGATATTTCAATTGAACAAGTATGTTACAAAGGTCAATTTATTATTCTGATTAATAAGAAAAACAATGAGGTAGAACTTGGTGGATGGAAGTTGATAAACCGCACTGGAACATCATTTACAGATTACGTATTTGATCAGAATTTTAAATTACCTGGAGGAGATAGTATAACAGTATGGTCTTGCAATGCTCTTAATGTAAATCATCAACTGCATGAAAATCTGGTGATGAAAGATCGTTCATGGCTAAGTGGAGATGTGACAATAACTACTCTATATAATTCATCAGGGAAAGAGATGGCCATTTATGAACAAAAGAAACAATGTGACAGAATGTATGTAAAGGAAATAAATAAACACTTGATAAATGAAAAGTCACCAAGAGATGATGCAACATTTGAAAACAGTGAAAAATGTTCAGTCATGTAAAATAAGGAGTTAATTAGTGAATAACTTTTTTTTTAATGCAGTGCAATGTTAGCTAGACATATGTATTTTTGTATCTCACATGAACAATATTGTATAGGAGTTGGAAGTTCTTAAATTTACTGGAGTTGGTCTTTTTTCAAGTAGCTGAAATGCTGTTTGAATTTTAGTTTATTCAATAGTTTAAGATTTTGTTCTTGTGAATAGGATTAAAATTCCTTTTACATCATGACTGTTTTATTTTTCAAATAAATAATGAAGTTTTAAAAGTTTTTTCTTTTTATTCATTATATTAGTTATCTTTTCTTTAATTTAATTTGTTCATAGTATCCTTTATGTTCCATGAATATTAAGTATAGCTTAGATTGTATGAATCTAATTTCAAATGTTTATGTTAATTCTGACAAATTCAAATATAAACAGAAGCTGTATTAGGTTTTTTTATTTTGTTTTAATAGTTAATTGTGGCTAAAGATAAAATTTGTATTGCTTAATGCAATGGTATAATAAACAAAACAAATTATTTATTATTTTTACTTTCACTGGTTCAGTTATAATGAGATGAATTTAATATTTAATAGTTATTAATCTAGTTGGGTGTTTTATAATTTACAAGATCAGTCAGGTATTTTGTACATGACTGAGGTGTGGTCATATTATTTTTTCTTTATGCATAGATATTTTATTTTTACATATCAATTCAAAACTTTTTGATTTAATAAAAGAGGAAAACTACAGTAATGTGTACCTTAAAAATATCAATATTCTTTCTCAACCTTGATCAATAATTAATTTTTTGTAATGTATTTTTACTTAAAATAATAGTGTTTAAATTTAAATATGAAAATTCATGAATTTTTAAATTAAGCAATTAATGTTTTTATTTTCTGATTTCCTTCTTTTGACGTGAAATTTCAATTTAATTAAAAAAAATTTGGTGCGCACAACACACAACTTTCACTCTCTACTTTGAATAGAAATCATTTTCTGGCCATGTTGAGCAATTATAAAATTTTTGAAGTGCACTTTTAACGGAGCTATACAACTAACAAATCATTAAAGACCACCGAAACCCTATTATTTAAATCAATGGTAGACAATAAAAACCTCGGTACTCCTGTTTTTGTAAACCATATACCTCCATTCTCTTAGCAAAAATTTGAAAGTATATCTCTATATTCAATCTATAAATGATTATAGATTGTACGCCTATTAGTTATTAAACTGTTATTTTCCATTGTAAAGTTTACTAAAACAAAATTATGAGATTTTCATTTCCTGACATAGATAGGTAAAAAGTTGTCACACCAGTTTTCAGTGAATAATGTTTGGATTTCACAAAGGGAAAATTCATCAAATTATTCACTAATTTGTGCTGCAGGGGCTAGCTGTAGCGCACAGTTAGTGGGGACTGACGCTCCTCTGGCCTCCCGAGTCCAGTAGACTGCGCAAAACCCACATGACTGTACACAATTCACTCACACTGACACAAGGTCACTAACAGAACACACCCTAGGATCACCTTCCCTAGGAAGCCGCCCCGGATGGGGGAGCACGTCAGGACGCTCTGAGGAGGCAGCCCCTCCACCTGACTTGGGGGCTGTGGGCCGATAACCCGTTCTCCTTAAATTACCTCTATTATGAATGCTCCAAAAAGATTAGCCGGACCGATAAACAGGAAACAACACAACGCTCATCAATTGGACTACACTTTGGCTTCTTGGAACGTTTTAACTCTAGATAGACCCGGAGCTACACAAACGCTCCTAAACATTTTAAACACATATTCAATAGACACAGCGGCCATCCAAGAGATCAGGTGGACTGGACAAGGCAGCCTTAAGAAAGGCCAGCACACCATTTATTACAGTTGTCATGACCGATTACACTCGTTTGGGACTGGATTCATTGTGAGAAGAAGAATGACCCAGCAAGTTATAGATTTCAAGCCTATCAGCCTCAGACTCTGTGTCTTGCGAATCAAGGGAAAGTTTCACAATGTCAGCATCATCTGTGTACACGCGCCTACAGAAGTCTCTGAAGATGAAATGAAAGACGAATTCTGTGAGGAACTGGAGAAGTGCTTTGATAACTGCCCTGCTCATGATATGAAAATAGTGATTGGAGACTACAATGCTCAAATTGGAAAAGAGAAAGCATTTAGGCCCACTATAGGAAGAAATAGCCTTCATGAGAACTCTAACGACAATGGAAAAAGGGTGGTGAACTTCGCAGCCTCTAAGGGTTTGGTTGTGGGAAGTACCTATTTCCCGCACAAGTTAGTGCATCTAGAAACATGGAGGAAATTCGGACGGAACGGATCCACTACAAGCTCTCAGATCGACCATGTACTCATCAGCGCCAGATATAAATCCTCATTACTTGATGTTCATACAAAACGAGGGGCTAACATTGACTCGGACCACTACCTTATAATTGCAAAAATAAGTTATTGGATATCAACAGTGAAGTACCAGCCTCGACGGTCTCTGAAGAGGTACAATATTGATAAGTTTAAGGACAGTGATACAAGCATTAGATTCTCATACCAACTGGACATCAGATTAAGGAACTCTGTCCCAGAATCAAATCTTGAGTCACAATGGAACTCATGCCGCACTGCACTTATGGAAGTAGCGAACGAGGTTGTAGGGGATAAGACCAAACAGATATATAACCCGTGGTTCGATGACGAATGTGGTGCAGTGACCAAGAGAAAAAACATTGCATACAATAAAATGATGCAAAGGAAGCACACAATGAGTACAGAGCAACGAGAAGGCGCGAGAGGCATGTCCATAGGAGGAAGAAAAGACGATGGGAGAATAAGAGTCTACAGGAGATAGAAGAGGACTTCACCTCCAAAAATACTAGAGAATTCTTCCAGGTTGTCAATAAAGGAAGAAAGCCCTTCATCGCCTGTACCACAGAATGCAGAGCAAACGATGGTTCTTTGATAACTGATAAACAAGGCATTTTGGACAGATGGGCTGAATACTTTTCAACTCTTCTTAACAGAAATGGCACAAATGTCTCAGAGGCAAATGATCCTATTACAGGTGGTGAAGACGTAGAACCCCCAGACGAGGAAGAAATCAATGAAGCCATAGAAGAACTAAAAAGCAATAGAGCCCCAGGCATTGATAACATCCCTGCAGAGTTCTATAAACATGGTAGTCAAGAGCTCATAAAACTCCTCCAGGAAATGTTTCATGCCGTTTGGGTTGATGAAGAGCTTCCAAGTGATTGGAAAAAATCCATTATATGCCCAGTGTACAAAAAAGGGGACGTCTATCAATGTAATAATTACAGAGGCATATGCCTTCTACCCACCGCATATAAAATTTTTCCAAGGATCCTTTATAGAAGAATAATTTCCTATGCCGAGGCTGAAATCGGAAAATACCAGGCCGGATTCATTAAGGGTAAATCAACCATCGACCAAATATTCACCTTGCGAATCCTTCTGGAGAAAACCAAAGAATATCAAATTGGTACACATCACATCTTCATTGACTTCAAGCAAGCATATGATTCCATAAATCGTGAAGAAGCATACAAAGCAATAGTAGAAATGAATGTACCTAAAAAACTTGTAAGGCTTGTTAGAATGACAATGGAGGGTAATGAGTGTTTTGTACGAGTACAAGGTGACATGTCAAAGGGGTTTAGAACATCGACAGGTGTAAGGCAGGGAGACACTCTGGCATGTCTGGTATTCAACTTTACCCTTGAAAAAGTAATAAGGGATTCTGGTATCCAGACTACAGGAACCCTCCTAAATCGAATGACCCAAATACTTGGATATGCGGACGACATTGATATAATGGGAAGATCGTTTGTGGCAGTACAGGAAGCTTTTACAAGTCTGGAAGAGTCGGCAGCCAAAATCGGGATTTATTATCAACACGTCCAAAACACCCTATCCTCACGTCTAACAAGGGAAAACCAAGCATGGCTGGAACAGCGTGGAATCGAGAATGTTGACGAATTTGTATATCTTGGTTCATTGATAAATGCACGAAATAACATTGATTGTGAGATAGACAGGAGGATCGCAGTGGCTAATCGGTGCTATTTCTCCCTCCAGAGACATCTTCGCTGTAGAATGTTGTCAAGACAGGCCAAAATAAGAATATATAAAACTCTTATTAGACCAGTGCTCACATATGGCTGTGAGAGCTGGACCTTAACAAAAGCAGTTGAGAAATCCCTGCTCAGACTTGAAAGGAGGATTATACGACGCATATTTGGAGGGGTCCAGGAAACACCATAGAATTGGAGGAGGAGAACTATTATTATTAGAATTATTAAACTACAGTAAATGTATTTAAGGTTATAAACATATGCTTTATACATCCATGAAATATTTTTATATTTCAGTTCTTCTTTTCACATAAGTAATGTGAAATAGTTTTTAAACAACGCTATTGCCTTGATTAGATGGGTTTTAAATACTTTTTTTTTCAAACTTACAAAACAATTTGAAAGTTTACATTTAGTTAGTAAATTTTCTTGAAAACATGTGGTTTCTGTTAAATAACATTAGTTTTCACACACAAATTGGTATTTATAATTTTTCGTCACTCATTACTTTCTATATTAGATATTGCTTTTTCTAAAATTCTCTGCTTTTCAATGATATATTATATATATACCTTCTGACTAGTATTTCTGGAAATTAAAATTTCCGAACTAAATAAACATTTTCCCTTTTTTGAATTATCAAATTCTTTCAAAAGTTATATTTAGCATTTTTTCGTAACTCTTAATAATAAGAGATAGTTAATTATTTAAAATAAGTCAAATTGAAGCTACTTCAGAGGAAGACATGTTGAACATTTAAGCCCTGTAAAATGAGATAAGACTTGAATGATATTAAATTATACAATGATACACCGAGTTTAATCAAAATCGCTGGAGCCGATTTTGAGAAAATTGTAAAAATGTGTTTCAGCGTTGATATAAAGTACCACTTCCGGTTAGTCGATTTTAACGAAAAAGTTGCTGTCACATCCAAGGCACTTATCTATCTTGAATACTTAATAACATTTTCATTTTTGAGCTAGACAGACCACATACATACATACATACCATTTTGCGGGACTTGCTTATTTAGACCCAGAGAACCTCAAAACGTGTATTTCAATTGAAAACTCAGATTCGAAAAATTTTCACGATCGCAATACTTTCCCTTACTATATATTACATATATATGTAAATGAAAGTAAAATTCACTTGACCATTCAGACAGAATACAGTGAGTGTATAATACAATTAATAGTCTGATAAACACAGACTCGTTTATTATATTAAAAGGTTTCAGGTTTGCTAAATAAAAAAGGAGGTAGTTTTAGAAATGTTCCAAAACATCTTATTGTTCTATGTAAAATAGAATAACAAAATATAATTAGAGGACGAATAGGCATCAGTTGACCCACAATATGACTCAAAACATGTTACCATTTAATCAATAGTTCCCATTATTGTTTTAGGTTATTCTTGACCACAGCCCAGACCATCTCCTAGATAAAATTGTTTAATTTTGAAATATGTTAGAGTAATGATAGGTTAGTGTTCATAGGATAATGGATACTGGAAGTTCAATTGTCGGTGTCAGACACATGACACTTTTTTTCTTATCATATCTTAAAAAAAAAAAATGCTAGAAAAAAGATATGCATTTACCTTTAGAACTGATGATTAAGAAAATCAAGTAGATAAAACTTAACACTTCAGGAAAGATCTTTGAAATAATCTGAATCTAGTTTAGTTTAGTTTTTAATTTTTTTTTTCATCTGAAACTCCTAGGTTTTGAGAAATTTAACTGACTAATTACATTTCAGTGATCTACTTCCCCCAAGTGCTAACATTTGAAACTAAGTTATTTTCTTTTCTTTATTTATAATTGATCTTTTTTTTGTCTTTTATCACCTGGATTATAAAATAACTGATGAGTACTACTTGTTTTATTTTTCTATGTGATAATGAAAAAATATATAGAATAACTGATTATGTTTTATTTACAACTTTTGGTACAAGATTTTTTAAAAATCGATTTACAGAGAAGAAAATATATGCATATTTAATATTAACACATTTCCCTAATGAAATATATAATAAATAACACTGTACTTGCAAAATATAAATTAACATAGCAATTCTCATAGTTATTGATAGGTATTACTATTAGATGTTTGAATAACTTATACAACTACAATCTTCAAAATCTATGGAGTACATCAGTCAAAGATATATTTCACAAGCAATAACAATCAAACCGTTAATGATCATCAGTCACTGAAATAAAAGTAACTGAAAAAATTTATTGTGTAATATATAAATTATAAAATAAATTATTATTCCCATTTAATAACAAAAAGAAAACAATGCATCAATCTGATGTAAAACTAACATTATAAGATGATAAATCTAAGCTATAGGAATAAGTAAAACAATATGACACAATAGTTCTTTTTTTTTTTCTGTTGTATGAATATCGAAACAAATTTGCTTACGATGCTCATCCTTATATTAAAATAAAACCAATCTTTTAATAATCATTAAGTAAATAATAACATTAAATGCGAACAATATTTATAACAAATATAAACTTGTTTTTATATCACAATACGAGCATTAAGAAATGCTTCAACAAAAATTAAAATAAAAAAGAAAGAAACACAAATAATAAATTAAAACATCTTAACCTCATACAATGAGGATTTATAAGAAAAACACAATCAAATAAAACAAAACACACCACAACTAAAGGTCAACTTTTAAACCTTCCTAAAGTCATCAATGAGCACCACAAATCAATATGTAAAATTGCGAACAGTGCTAGTAATGATGGTGTGTTTGGTGTCAATCAAGAGTTACTTCATTTTCTCTGTACTTTTGTTTTAAATGTCAAACAGCATCATGAATTTTCGTTAGGACATTGCTCTTTTAAAATGTTTGCCAGGGGTTTGGTAACTCGAGAAAGATAACCCAGGCTAGAAAGGAATCAGATCCGTGCAAACTTCCGATAATTTTACAGGTACTTATATTGCTGTCAAGGAATGTTAGAATATCGCTTTGAAGAGCCACTTTTGATCTTGTTGATCAAGTTACAGATTTTGAGAGCTGGTCCCAATTTCAGACCCATATACTTCATCATCATGTCTGAGTTTAGGAGCATTAAAGCTTTACCATCAATTTCCTGTAAAAAGATAAATACACAAAATCATTTGAAACATTTGTTTATTTATTTATGTAAATATATTAAATGAAATTATAATAAGCCATAAATTTGTTTTTTATTGTTATTAGAGAATTTTTTATAACAAATGTGATATATTAAAATTTGTAGGATATAAAAGTTTGACTTTAGATAGTTTAATCATGGATGTGCTGATTTATACTACAAAATATTTTAAATAATATATAAACATACATTGATGGCTCAACAACCCACTTAATGAACCTGGCCCTCCTCCAAGAGCCTCCACCAGACAGCTCTGTCCTGAGCTATAGCTGTCTAATCAGTCTTGATCTCTTTAGGTTCTCCAATTTTCCTGATTCGATGGAATTCCATAGTTATTAACTTTTTCAGAACCTCATCACTATTCATGTGAGTCATATCTACATGTCATACTCAGTGAAGGAGTCTGGTTTTAATGAACTGAATACTGTTTACATCATTATACATCTCACAAATTTCTGGATTCATCCTTCTCAATATGTATCATTTCTTCATTGGTCCAAATATCCTTCTCAATACCACTCAGTTAAAATGAAGGATCTTTGATTTGTCAGATGTTGTAGTTGCTCCAGGTCCATAAGCAAGAATAGGCCACACTAGAGTTTTGCAATAAACATCACCAAAGAAACTCATGCCATGTACTGGGGTGCAATGCATAGACTTTTAGTTTGAATGAAGACATGAAGTAATGATGTGCCTAAGGAAGCAACATAAAATTGATCCTTCAACTGATTTCCTTTGTGACATTCTAAGACTTTAGTTCAGCTCGAAAGTAAACAAATAAATTAACTCGTTTAAATTTATAAGAACGAATTTCTATGAAGGTTCTCTGATTTTTTGTTTTTACCATTAGCACGCATATTTTTGGTCCATTCATCACCAACTCAAACTTACTGGCAGACCTTTCAAAAGTTATAGAAATCTCTATTGGTGCTCTTTCAGATCTGGTTACTTTGTCAAACTACTGCAAATCCTAGAATTATGACAAATCTAGTAAAAATGGTGACATCAGTTGATATTCCTGATTTTTGAATTAGCATTTCTGAAGTTTAATGAAAAAGAAGACAAATCAAGATTATTCTCTTATCTTACTCCATTGTCAGCTCAGAATGAACCTGATAGGACTCATTCCACATTAACATTAGTTAAGTCTTCTTGAGGTCATTTCTATGTCTTTTGAGTTACTGTGTTACTTCAAATTCCTTCATGACCTGGTTATAATTTCAAATTAACAAAATGTAGGATGACCCTCTTAATTTCAGTGGTCTTAACTAAAATGGTCCCGATTGGAAAGATTTGGCCTTTAGTGAATCTTCCTCTTCTCAGACCCACCTGATATGATGGCAACTTTGAGTTTGATGTTTCAATAGGATCCAAACGGACTTGTATTCTCATTACAAATAAATCAAATTTTAATATTTGAAAATAATAACAAATGAACATTTTAAAAAATCGTGAAGAGGTGCTGAATACTTACATGCCGCCTGAAGAGTTCTGAATGTACGGCTAAAGCCTGGTCAACAGAAGCAATGTAAGTTATTACATCTTCAATTCCCCAGTTGTCAGTAGGATCACCCAATTTGGACTCACTGGGTGTAGTAGGTGTGGTTGAAGTAGCGGCCTCCAACTCAGCTGGACATAAATATATCCTTGTCATATTGATGAAAATTAAGACATTGTACAGTTATCGTCATTATACAGGGTGTCCCGTAAGCAGAGGGAAATAATTATAGGAATGATAGCAGATCTCAAGAGATACAAAAAAGTTTATATAAACAATGGCCCGATTTCTAGCAGAAAAGTAGAAAATTAATTTTTTTTCACCTCCAGTAAGAAATGTTTTTCGTTGAATAGGAAGCGCTAACTAAACAATATTTAATTTATGTAACTAACAATTGCTTCACTAGACTTAAAGTTACTTCAAATGTAAATTAAGCTGGTCATTGTTAAAACCATTTAAAGAGTACTTTTGAGCGGCTAAACTTTTTTTTTATCATCCTCCAACTACAGTACAGATTTCCACTTTTAGAAAAACTTCCTCATTTAAGAAGCTTTAAGTAAATATTAATTAAGTTGAGGTTTATTAAGAAAAAACTTGAGACTCACCTCAAGTTGTTTAAAAAAAATCATGTGATTTTATATAGTGTCACCTGAAAGTACCCATGTTTTCATTCAAAGCGACTACAACAAATTGTTGGAAAAGCTTGTATTTCTTGTTTTTAATGATTTACGATGTATAATAATAAATATAAATTCATAAGTACACTTTTTATTTATAAAAAAAAAAAAGGATTTTTTTACTAAGATTTCTATTACAGGAATTTATCCATATTTATGTTAAAAATAAAGAAACAGAAACATTTAGTTTGTCACTTATAATTATGGATTAATTCTTTTAATAGAGATCTGGATGAAAAACACAGTTACATAACCACCTAGCATGAAAAATCATTATTTTAACATTTTTATTATTTTTTTTTAAGAAATAAGAAGTGTATTTAGGCAATTATTTATATAATAATAATTCCAAATTAAGGAAAAACAAGAAATAAATTTTTTTTTTAACAATTCATTGTAGTAATTTTTGCTGAAAACATGAGAACTTTTAGGGGACTGGATATGAAATCACATAATTTTTTTACATAGCTTGAGGTGAATCCTAAATTTTTCTAAAAGTGGGATATTTGTAGTGATAATATAATTGTTGAAAGATGATAAAAAAAAAAATTACAAATAATTTATGAATTTTTTAAAAACCGAGCTTAGCTTAATTAAGCAGCTCAAAAGTCCTCCTTAAATGGTTTTAACATATTCTACTTTCGATAAAAGTAAATTTAGTGTAGTTTACAGTAAAATAATTTTTAAATACTTAAATTAAATAGTTTTTTTAGCTATCACTTCCTATTCAACAAAAAATGTGACACTAAAAAAACACCAAACTTTTATTTCTTACTTTTCTGCTGGAAATCGGGCCATTGTTAATATAAACTTTTTTGTAGTTCTTGAGGTCTGGCATTACCCCAATTAATATTCCTCTCTACTTACGGGACAACCTGTATATGGAGGTTATTTTTTTTTACTTTACCAAGTCAGACATATAAAAGTAGATTTAAAAAAATATATATAGGATATGAATAGTGATGGATAAAGCACTAGAATATTACTGCTTCCAGGTAGTTCTCCAGCTAGAGAAAATAAATTATCTTCTGTTTAATAATCTGAAATTGCATTATCTCTTTATAGCTCTGAATCCAGAGGCTATACAAAGTACTCATAGCAGGATAAGATTTAGATGTGAATGTCGGAAATGTAGGCTATTTTAAGTAAAATAAACCTTATCATCCATTTCAAAGCTGCTGGTCTAAAGAAAGGAAAGTAGAGGAATCAGTCGGAGATCGAAACAAGGGTTAAATTGCAAAAAAAAAAAAAAAAAAAAAAAATGGAGGAGAAGCTTTTAATAATTAAACTTGTATATATAGCATTTCCAAGTAAAATTCAACCTTTTTTTATTTATTTAATTATTTTTATAATCTTAAAATGGAGGTCATTTTCAAAATCTATGGCTCCGGAAACATAAGAGTAAACCCTTATACAGAATAAATCCGAAAAACTTAAATAGGTTGAAACCCAGTGGTGTAATCTTAAAATGGAGATTGTTTTCAAAAACTAAGCACAGGATAACATAATACTAGACCCTTATATCGAATAACTTCGAATAGGTACAATAAATCGATACCTGAAAGTTTAACATAAAATCAATAATATTTTGAAAAATTGTACTTAGGGGAGCATAATAATAGACCCTCATATTGGAAAATGACCCTGATTTTGAAAAAAAAATGGAAAATTTACAAAAATACGAAAGTTGAATTGAAATGGAAAAGGTTGAAATTGACTTGGAAATGCTATATATAGCTGCAAAAATCTTAAGACCAGATAGCTATCACAGACTTTCTTAAGAGAACTTGAGGCAGCCAAAAGAACTCATGGTGCATCCTAGCGGTTTTAGTTACTCTTAAACAAATTAAAAAAAAAAAAAGAAAAAAAAACTGTACCAATAACAACCCATGAAGGGTTATGGGTTCACAATGTGAGGAAGTATTGTTACAAGGCCAACGATTGTGCAGGGAGGTGACTAGCCAATATCATGCTCAACTAGCAGGTTTTCCCCTTAATTAATTATTTAATTAAGAGTACCCACTTTATAGAGGCTGAATTTGCCCCAGAAAAAAAATAATGATAAATTTTGCATAAAATGAATACCCCAACTTACTAATTTAATTCAGTGAAGTCCTCAAAAAACATGGTCAATGACACCTATTTCAAAGGTGTACTTCATCTAATTTAAGGATGTTTGTACTCAGTGGATGCAGAACTTGATGCTCTACAACTTTTACACTAGTAGTTTTATTTCTTAGAAAACTCATTTCCATGCTGCAGTCATTTATAGTTTTTGACAAAGTTGATTATAGTTTTTGAGCTTAACCAAATTATTAAGTAGTGATAATCATTTTAAGCAGAATTTATTGTTCTACAATTTGTTAAAGAGTAGTGTTTTTGCTAACCCACCATTCAGAAAATGAAGGTGAAAAAAAATCTGGTATGGTGCGTGTACCACTTATGAAATGAAAAATAATTTTATTCTGGGACTGAAATCTCCTTAGAATAAATGATAGTAGAGTTCAAAAAATATGTACATCAGTCTGGTATCTAGATATAATACAAATATATACAAAAAATACTAAGGAAAATACAAACATTTACAGGAAATATTGAATGAAAATAAAATGGCTCTTATCAATTAACAGCTGGTGAACAACGTAATTACATAACAAAAAACATTCTTACAAGCTAGCAGAAGTTTGAATTTGTAGTAGATAGTGGAATAGGAGTTGTTAGAAGGGATTGAATGGACAGCCCACCATACACCAAGCAACCTTGGTCGAAGTGGGGAAAAACAAGGAACAGGAGTCTGGTTTTTTTGGAATGGAATCAAAAAATTGTTTATGGACAGCTAAGGATTTACAGGTAATTTAGAAAATGGGTGTGGTTATTTCAAGAGAGGTTCAAATCAAAGATCACTCTGAGGTTTTTGACTGTCGGAAATAAGTGGATGGGATGGTTATTGAGGTAAGCCTTAGTTTTCAGCTTCAGTTAGTTTTTTTTCAGCCCTTCTACAGATACAGTCAATATCCTCCTTCACTTACATGTTTATTTTAGCAAAAAAAGGTATTGTCGGGCATAAGAAAATGAAAGTTGAATTTTTCAAACAGTACAACATATTATTTAAAGCAATTAATTAACATATGTTTTTCACAGCCATCTACGTAAAAGTCAAAAGTCCTTCTAGAACGATCCTCCGAATTTGATATTACTACCTGCCATTTCATTTCAAAAAGTAAGGAAGTGGTGGAAGTAGTGAGGAGACATTCTACACATATTTGATTTATAACTATTTCAAGTTATGTAATAATTTACAGCGTTATTACTGTTTGTACACTAATATGCAATTGAACATGTACTGAATATATATTTGAATATCATTAAGGTCATAATGGCTGACCATATTGAAGCAGAAACTTTAACATTCTCGAGTCTAGCGATGCCGGGTCGAATCTGGCCTGGGCAGGTTGAAATTTATTTCATGGTAGATCCACAGAATAAATTTTTATAGTAATAAATCATTTTGTCAGAATGGCTCATTCAAAACAGTGAACTCTCAATAACAGCAAGAAATTATATTATAAGTATTCTGGGTTACATGGTCTGAAAATTGTGCTATCATTGGATCCACAGAACTTCGTAAAGAGGGCACAAATTTTAATGCATTTTAACATGTTTCTGACTTTTTTTTTTTTTTTTTTTTTAATGAAAGAGCTCTAGTTTTGTATAGAGGATGAAACTACCAAACAGAGATAATGTCTAACTAATTTTGTGACCAAAATGAACCTGACTGTGTTTGTAACTGGGCTACTTAATTCAAAATTATTAGAATAGCTTAAATTATTCACCTGGTACAGTTTTCCTAGGCTGCTTTACTGTAGTGTTTTCTGAAGCACTATCAGGAGAATTATCAGCAGAAAACCGTCTCTTAACTGCTGTTGGTGGGCTCTGAGTACGTTCAACAATTTGGTTGTTTGGTGGTTGCTGAGGAGTGGGTGTAGCTTCGCTGTCAGCAGTTGGGTTTAGAGGCTTATCTTCTGGTTCTGTTGGAGACATTAATTAAATAACTTATTTAGACAAACATCTGCAACATATTCTTTTTAAAATAAAATCTAAACTATACAACAGAAGATGTAATGGGTAGTGGGGGCACTACAAACTGCCCGTCGTTACTCTCTATTGTCAGACTACTTAGTTCAAAGGTTCATATTTTTTTAATGAGATAAAAAATATTATAAATAGATTTATACACATATATAATGTTTAGAAAACTTGTGACTCTTACAGGCACCAATAAACCATTGTAGATATTTATTTTTTCTTATGTATTGCAACAAAACTAAGGTTAGCAACTTAAAATATCATTATTTCAAATTAAAAACTTGCACAACTACAAATAATGACATAAGTAGTTTATTATATTATATGAGAATATATAAATAATAAAAATAAAACCACACATTTCCATAATTGATTATTATAAATCTTTTAAAAGATTTACAATAATAAATTTTTGTTACTAATACAATAATGAAAGATATAATTTTGACTGATTTTAGTGGATTCAGATTTATCTTATAAAATATGATTGTGTGCTCACAGAATCGAACAATAAATTTTTACCTGATGGAGGAGGTTGAGGAATAACAACAGGTGGTGAAGGTGAAACCAGACTAGGAACTGAGGAAGAAATCATATCCTGTGGAGGTGAGGCTGTGTTTCTCGTTGTCGAAGTCGGAGAAGACGATGTATCAGCCACTGGTGGAGGAAAACTGAGCACACGAGCCTTGTATCGAGAAGGTCCAGTAACACCTTAACGTTAACAAATAGTTCATTAAAAACAAACATTGTATATGATTTAATAATAATAAAGTATTTATTTTATTTTGAAAACAATCTATTTGATAGAGGGATAATTATTGAGTATATACTGGATGACAAATTATTGAAAATAAACATTCCAGTCATACTGAAACTTATTAAAATTCAAAATTTCATTTCAAACCCTGATTAGAAGTGCTACCTTGCCTGGCTCAACTACATTGCTACTTCTTTGCCTATATTTTCCATATTATTGCATTATGTGGAGTGATAAATGTAAAAGGCTTTGTGATGGGGGAGGCTGCAGTTGGTTGTAAGAATATATTCTGAAGCAGTTGGCATCCAACAATTTATAAAGAATGTTTTTATGAATATAATAATAATAATAATAATAATAAATACACCGAAAAATAAATAAATAAAAAAAACTTCACCGTCTCAAAAATCTCATTAAATAAAATGAAAATTTTATGATTCTTTAAACTCATACTTCAGGTTTAAAAAATAGATATACTAAATATAATAAAAACAAATAAATTCCTAAAAATAATAAAAAATAAAAAACAAATAAATCCCTAAATTTCTATTCATATACAATCATAAATTAAAATAATCAAATGCATTACATTTTAACATAAACAAATCCATCATGTTTTACTGCAATATAAATTATAACACCACAATGCATAATCAGATTAAATATTGTAAAATATAAAAAAACTAGGAGAGGCTATATATTACTAAAAATATAGAAAAAAAAATCAATTTTAAAAAAGACACCAACATTGTAAATAGTCACTATGCACATATTTACAGTAATTTAAAAAAATATGTAAAACCAGAATAACATAGATTGATACATATAAAAAACAATAGTCCTTAATAAAGAAAAAATAGCTTAAGGAATTAAGCTAATTTAATTTAATTAAGGAGGAATCCTCAGTGTCAGTTTACGGATGTTCCTCAAAATCTTTCATCTAATCAAAGAAACAAAAATTTTACTTTTAACTTTTAAAAGGAATTATGTAACGTATCATGAGAAAAAAAAAATAGAAAAAAAAACATTTTATAGAACGGGAGACAAGGATAATCCAGTCTTGCTTGGACACTCTCATCGGGAATTTCAATTGTTAACATGGAATTTTATAGAAATATGACAAATCCTAATTTAGATTTTTAAATTCTTATCACAAATTTAATAAAAGTGATTAAAAATTCAGCTGGTTTTAAAAGTCAGTGGAATGAGACATTATTATAGAATATATCAAACTCTGTTTTAATACCATAAAATTTATGGCTTTTGAGGTGGCACATAATAAAGTACCACCCACTGTACTGGCCCATCCTGCAAGTGATAACCTCCCAAGTGCATAAGATAATTATCATACATTATTATTTAGATTTTTAGGTATTCAGCAATCCATAAGTGAGAGAATTATCAACTAAGCTGATAAAGAATTTGGTTATGAAATAAATAAGAATGACACAAATACATAGTTAATATTTATAAATAATTGTACGGAGTTATGAAAAAACTTCTCTTGGACTAAATTTATCTCATGCTCAATAATAATTTTTGTTAAGGATCATATTTCTTAACTATTTTATAAGGAAGAACAACCTTAAATGGCTTATTATTTAGAGCAAACATTTAGCAATGATCAGTTAATTTTAAAAATATAAAAATTAGAACATTCATTTATCCAAGAAATAAAGAAGATTAATGAAAATTCTAACTCAAGGCTTTGTCCACTAAGCCCATGCATCCAACATAAGGATAATAATTACATTTTATCAGATTTTATATTGATTGCTAAAATTAGTAAGGGATAAGATTATTATGATAATAGACCAGAATACTGGTCTGACCAAACAAACATAAAGATGCTTACCAGCAATTGATATGGAAGGCAGGAAGTTATTAATGCTTTGATATTACTTTCATATAATTAGAAGGGAACTGTTTCTCAACTTTAGGGCCCCTAACAACTTAATCCATTTGTGCTGAATTATGGTTGGCTGTTTTTCATTATAATTCATATAAGGATAAATTCTGAAGAATACATGAAAAAAAAAAAGGGTAAATGGCAGGAACTGAACAATTTTGTTTTCAAAAATTATGATTAGACTGAAAGGAATACTAGAAACACCTAAAAATCTCTCAAACACTCTGTATCAACCGGATAAGTATTGGGTTTGGTTGTGTCTCTAGTCAACAGGCAGTATTCTGGAGTATAGCTGTTATAACACGAAATAATAACATGGATGTTAGAATCTACAATTTATAAGAAAAATTAAAAAATAAAGTAATCTTCCTTACCCTTCTGTCCTGGAGGTTGTAATGGATGACCACTCTTTGCACACCATCCCACAGGAAATATATCCCTTGAATTATATTTACACCAATAATCAAAAGCGCCTCGCCAGCCATCAAAGTTCACATGAATGGTATCATCTTTGACTTCACCTAAGACAAAAACAAAGATTAATCAAGACTATAACTTACAAGGAAAAAATCATTTGAAAAGTACATATAGTGATACGTTTAAATAAATTATATAATAAAAATTAAAAAATATAAATTATAACCATCATGAAGTATTAATAAGAATGATAAAAATTTTGTCCATATCTAAATTTGCTTTCTGCCAAAGCAATAAGTAAAAAGGCTAGCAAATGATAACAACAAATCTTTCCCACAACACAGGAAGGATCTTGGACTTACATAGTAAGTAATTATTTTAGGACAACAGTTGTGGATCAATGTGAGTATGACAAAATGACGCTCAAGCGTCAGGTTTTCCTTCACCTAATGGTGCCAAATTTATAGAGGTAGGGTGTATCTCAGGCCTAGGAGAATCTAACGATTTCACTCAATGGTGATATTAAAATAATAAACTAATATAAAAACAAAAAACCATCTACCACAAGCCAAACTTGTATTTAGGCTCGAGGGATAAGAGAACAGTTCTAAAGAGGTCTGTTGGACTCAATTTGCACTTTAATAGTATTAAGCATTACAATACAGTCACTCTTTTTGAGAATATCTATGCTATTCGCACAAGTCGTTCAACTTGACAATTGAAAAGAGCACATCAGAGAATTGATGTAATAATTCCAAAATTGTATTTCCCGGTAAAAAAAATGTAACTTTCAACTATTGAAAGGGGCTGTTGGCTATGTGTTTAGGATGCTATTACAAGAAAATACACTTTTAAAACAGTGGTAATGGCTGCTGAGTTAGTTGTCTTCATTTGTACCAATTCAGTGAATTTAGCAAAGTAATCATGTATTTATAAATAATGCTTTTCCTTCATATTTTAACCAGTTAAGTACAATTTTATCCCATGACCCTACTGAGGTACCTCATTGAGTAATGAATATTCAGAAGTTTCAATAAAATGTTATGAATATGACAATTTTAATCTTCTTGATATCCACTATGGTTGGCATTACTATGCTTGGCTACGAGATAATGTTCTGAACTCAAGAACTATATTTAGTAACTCCATGATTTCTACGATTTTGGAACATGAATTCTACTTCCATAATTTATCAAACTTTTTGAATGCTAGAAGACACTTCTCTTTTTTAAATTAGATATTTTACAAACTAGTTCAACACTGGATAATATAGATGCTTTCAGGAGTTGGAAAACCATGGGTCTTTTATCTCTCACATTAATTGCAGAGATCAGTTATGAAATGCGAAGCTTGATCTCGCCTCTGATGTTTTTACTTTTGGAGTGCGGTATTTGGAAAGCAAAAGTTAATAATATCATTTTAAATTTCTTTTATCGTGGAGAAAAACTACCTATGGATTTTCGGGGTAGGATTTTAACTACCAGCTTATAAATGAAATTTCTCCAAGCCCCCGGTAATGCCAATGCTTCTTTTTTAATTTTAATTAAACAAGACATACAAAGCTTCTACTGCACTTTAACTATGAGAAATAAATATGACAAATATCTATTTATTCCTTCATGAATTTTTGTTCTGCAACACCTCCAATTCCAAAGAAGCTTGAGGCACATTAGATATCTCTCTTTTGGTTAAATGTAATCAGTGAGATTGCCTCAGAATGAGAAGTTTCAGTTTAGAAAATTGAACCTCAATAAGTTTGGTATTTATTACAACCAAGTATATTTATCAGAATAATAAGGCTTTGTTTTATTTGAAAAATGGGGGAGGGAGAGAGAGGAAGGAACAGGAGGTAAATTTCATTAAATAGTTTACATTCCTAAGGACTTCAATTACTTTTAAATATTCATAGGAGGCATTGTTTGGCTGGGTATCGTTTAATGATACCATTATCTATAAAATGTTCCCAACATTTGAGGTTATGAACTCTAAAGACACTTTTCTTATTAAGTGTTAAGCCAAGTAGTTCAAGGTAACTTATGAGAGTGACTATTCTATGATCATGTTCTTCTTCAATGTCCCCACAAACAATAAAATTTATTATATTAACAACATTTTTTAAGCCTTCAATTGACTTGACATTCTTTTTGAAGATTTCAAGCACTGTAATTGGAGAATCCTCTGATTTTTTACTAAAAGATGGTGTAAATAATAAAAAACTATGGCCTATATTTAAGGAACAAGCTTCACAGGAGAGTAAATTTTTTAATATTATTAAGTCCAAAGACCCTCGGATAATTAATTTATTGATTTCTAAGTAATACTGAATAAAATGAATTAGGTAATCCTAAAAATAGAAGTGTAATTTGATCTCATAAGCCAAAGAAGGTGATTACATTGAAAAGAACCTAACAGAAATAAAATAATAATTAAATCCACTAACTATATAACTTTTTAAATCCTATTTACAAAGATTGTACATTAAATAAATAACATATTTTAAAATGACTTTAACTATAAAATGTAATTAGCTTACCCACAGTTGCAGCACAAATTAGTTGTGGATTTTTTCTGTCTACTGCTTCGAGTTTCATACCAACTTTAAATAAATTTGCAGGTGGAGAAACTGGTTCTTTTAGAAATACTTTATGAGGTGCCATTTCAGCTCCATTGAGAGTCTTCAGGAGGAACATAGGCCAAGAAGAAGCATTCATTCGAAATCCTATCAAAAAAGGAAAGAAAAATGTTTTTAAATATATATTTCAAAAATAGACAGTACTTAAATAAATAGCATAAGTTTGTTGCAAATACAACAATTCATAACAATATTTACCTAATGGAGGTTGAAGCATGCCACCATGTTTTTCACAGTATCCAATCGGGTGTATTTCACTAGAATCTACCAACCTCCAAAAATCATTTTTATTATCTGAGCCATCCAGACGTAGGCGTAATCGAGGACCAAGAATGCCAACAACAGAGGCTATACATGTTGATGTTAAATTCCTTGGATCCAAAGCCTCCAGCTTCATTCCAATTTTGAAGTTGTTAATAGGAGGCACAACATGCTGTAAACAGATGTTAATGCAAAAATTATATTAGAATAAATACATACATACACAAACACATATAATTTATAAAATTTATGATTAAATTACAAAATATCTCTTAATCATTAATAAAATCAGTAGTAGCTTCACCAGTAACAAAAATTTCACAGTAAATTCTTAGAAATTCAATAATAATTGGATATTAGTCTACCCTAAAGTAATAATCATAAAATCCATAAATCATAAATTGCGTTAAAGCCAATCTGAAGGGACTGGGTTTGGATGGCGAACGGTGGAGGGAGCTGTGTAATAAGCGATTGGTGGTGTCAGCATTGAACCTCCAGGTTCGCTAAGCCTTTTATTATTATTATTATTATTATTATAAAAGTAAATAAATAGAGGGAGATGCTAGAAAATGTGAGCAATAGGAGGGATTCGTACTTCAAATGAGCGACTTTTGTCAGTTGTAGACTATTTCCAACACTTAATATTATGCAATAATTGCAGTGGGTGCCAAAATCTGAGTGGATCACTGACAACTGGAGATTTTACCAGTACTGGTACATTAGCCGGGCGGGACGAAACCTCACTTGTTATCTATGCTATCTAATGTCATGTCACTTAACCTCCCTCTTCTTACCTCGCCAAACCTTTCAGTTATTAACTTATTACATTAAGTTATTAAATTCTTTATTTTTGGCCCGTTTGTGTTTATTTTTCAGTTATTTACTTATTACATTAAGTTATTAAATTTTTTATTTTTGGCCCGTTTGAGTTCATTTTTCAGTTATTCACTTATTAAATTCTTTATTTTTAGCTCGTTTGTGTTATTTTCGTAAAATTATGAATCTTGTTACATTCTGGGAATTTTTTTATGCCTTATAAATGTAAAATTAAAGTGTTTTCTGATTGTTGTGGGAATTATCACATTTCCTACATCATCCGTTTATTCCAAAAAATCATTATGTAACCCTTTAAAAAATTAAATTAGTGAATAATTTGATATATTTTCCCTTTGGAATATTCCAAGAGAATCCAATTACAATTAGTGTGACAAATTTTGACCTGTCTATAAAATACAACACAAATTTCTTAATTCTGTTTTAATAAACTTTGGGTACTTGTGAGCGACGCGGCCTCTATGGACTGCTATCTGCAGTTATCTTGTTATTTAAAGTGTTGTTATTTATATTTCTTATTACTATATATATATTAATTTAATATATATGTTGTAAAATAAAAGAATTTTTCTTATTATTACATTTGTTTTTGTTTCTGTTTACAATTTCAATAATACGAATATAATACAATAAATATGAATACGAAGATAGGAATTACGAGAAGGCTGATCACTGCCTTCTCAGAATTATCAGTGTTCAGGTTATAAACATTGGCAGATTGCAGTCCTAATGGCAGATAGCCTGGCTAATGGACCAGTACCATTTTACCCTATACATTCTAACTTGATTCCACCTAGGTTTACCTTTTCCAATCCTTTACAACAAAAAAGCTTCCACACATTCTCAATCTGTCCATCCCATCTTCCTCTGCCCACTCTTCAAAAATAATATTCCAACCAAAGATGAAAAATTGGACAAAACTGAAATTACTTATCGAAGGTAGGTGAATGTCTGGGATATTAAAGAAACTCTTTTGCCAAAATTAATTAACCGAAAATGACACTTTATATCATTGTATTTATACATTTTTACAATAACTGTAGGTAACTTTTATCATAAAATGGCTTCAATGATTTTGATTAAACTTGTTATGTCAATTTAAAATAAACTGATCTTTGGCAGGAATTATCCTCATTGAAATATTCTTACAGAGCTTTAATGCTAAATTTACAAAATTTCTTCCTCAAAAGTACTTTTAATTTTGTTTATTTAAAACAATTAACCATTTCACAATGTTAGTAGTAATAAAAAATGGTTAAATATATACTATGATAGAATTTGTTAATTAATTAAAGGAGAAATAAGATTACCAAGGTAGTACAAGAATTACTGAAGACCTCCAATTGTGCATAATATGCTAAATCATAGGCAAGGCACACGTGAGCACAAACATTATCATAAATTGTAACAATGACATTAAACATTTAATTAGATAAGTTTCGATAATACAATAACTAAAATTCAATAAAAAAGACTTGGTAAAAAGAAAAAATTGCATTATTCTTTTTTGCTACTAGTTTTGGTCCTTCATCATGCTTATTTATAATATTCCTTCAGTCCTGCTTGTCAAGACAAAGTCACAGGAAAGCAGTCATTGAATTTGATCTCACTCCTTTAATATCAATTCTCAATTCAAGAAAACTAAATGGCAACTTTATTTGCCATAGCACCTATAACTTCCTAAAAACATTTTGAGGCACTTGCTAGAAATTAATTACCATGAGTTAGGAGGCCGAAGGATAATATTTCCTATACCCACCACTAGTGCATTAAACTATTTGCACTTCTGTGTAAAGAGAAAAAAGGTTATAGTGTTCTTAATATACCTTAGAGATAGGGATGTAATTTGTAATCAAATCACGTGATTTGAATATTTGATGAACATAACATTAATAGACATATTTTAAAATGAATATTACCTGTTGAAAACAATGGGCTGGTGCGGCTATACTGTTTGTCTCTTTCAGGTACCCATCCCAATCAAAGGTTGGGCACGGAAAGAGCGGGTATGGACTCAGAGCAGTGCCACTGGTATTACTACTATTAGTCACAGATGTATTTAGGCTGCTTGTGGTATGTGTAGTGGATGTAGCAGAGGGAGTAGGGCTAGGTGTGCTAGGTGGCCTTGGAGGAGGAGTAACAACAGCAGTTGGTGTCGTAGAGGTTGGTGATACCACTCCATTAGGAGGCTCTGGGTTAGAAGCAGTCTTGATATCTAAAATATAAGAAAGGTATTAACAACAGATAAAGTAATGTAACAAACTGAATAAAAAATAAAGTTTTGAAATACTCATAGTTAAAAGAAAAAATGTTTTCAAACATATACATTTCAGATGAAAACCAAAACAAACTACTTAAATCTTCAAAACGTGGACCAGTTTAGAAAATATTCATCATACCTCCATGTTTAATTTCGACAGTCTCACTCTCTTTACTTCTTTGGAATTCTTCAAGGCAAGCAGCAGAGCAAAACTGTTTAGTAGAAGAATCACTCAGTTCAATTTTATGAGTTGAGCCCCTCAAAGCATTTCCACACTTAGCACACGTTCCCTAAAAATATATTAGAATTAACTATTGTTCATTAATTAAATGATTTAAAGTTTAAAGATAAATAGAAAAGAATTTGGTAAATGAGCAAATAAGTTTATAATTATCTCAATTATGACCCATAAAAATAAAATGAAACATTGAAAAAAAGAGAGATTACCTTATTACATCCTTTACGAAAAGCTGAAAGACAAGTTTCAGAACAAAATTCCTTTTTACCAAATTGTGTCGGCAATATATATTTCAATGATTGTCTTTCTGAGCACCAAGTGCAGCATGCTTTCACTTTCGCAGGGCGACCTGATACAAAATTATTATTTTTACATATTTTTGTTAATAAATTGAAAATGAACTATGATTAGAAGTTACAAACAATTAAACTAGGACTGGAAGTTGAGAACTAAATAAAAGAAATTAGTACATCATATATAGTCATATATGAATATTATAGTCAACGATACCTCCATCACAATTTAAGCTCTTTAAGAATTTAACTTTAAGAAGGATGTAGCATCATGTTATTGCTCCGACTTTTGTCAACTCTCACCAACCGAAAACACAAAAGCTGACGATTTTCAATTAAAAATCTTTAGTTTCTATTGAAACAGAGAACTAGGTCTTTTGGCAATTTGTATTTGTTAAATTTTCTGATAACATACTATGGCACTACAACTAAGTGGTAAAAAGAAAAAATATTGCGATTAAAGGAGGTGAAATCATCCAAGTTAGGAATTATATCTTGAAAATACCTCCTTCTTTAAGTTTTTTTGTTTTGAGTAGTTAAATCTATATCAACTTCTGTAATAATATCAACATTAATTTCTACAATTATTAGCTTTAAATTAACATTGTCAGCGTCAGACTGGGTGAATGAACCTATAAAAATGCTAATAACCCTTCGAAACAATGCATTCTATCCTGCTGACAATCAGATCATGAGAAAAATAGAACATGATCCATATTCTTTCCTACTGAATTTGTCCGACGATGGCTATAGTCAATCAACTTTTATTATATTATATAAAGCTATTATAAAAATAAATTTATACTATAAAATTCATTGATTAGATAAATGTTTAATATCATGTAATCCAAGTAAGATAGAAAAAAAAAAGGATCTATTGATTTTAAGAAGAAATTGCTTATCCATCACTCTGTCTCTAAAATAAACTCTAATAAATCTCTCTATAAATTCGTATGGTTTAAATATTTTGGTTATTAACAAAATAAAATTATTTTATAAAGGAAAAATAGCATGTGCCTTTAAATAATTTTTTTTCTTTTAAAATCTGTAGAAGAGCAGATTGACCTTTATCTGCTGACAAGCCACAGTTGGCCAATTACTGGTTAACAATATCCCAACTATTTTTTTACTTTCACTTACCTATATATGTAATATATAGCTAGTGGAAGTATTGCGATTGTAAAAATTTATGAATCTGTGTTTTCAACGGATATACACGTTTTGAGGTTCCCTGAGTCCAAATAACCAAGTCCCGAAAAATGGTCTGTGTGTATGTGAACACTCAAGCTCGAAACCGAAAAGTCATACGAAACTGATACTACATATATACATGCCTTAGATGTCCTGGCAACTTTTTCCTTAAAATTGGCTACCCGGAAGTGCCACTTTATTTTAACGCTGAAACACATTTTTACAATTTTCTCAAAAACAGCTCTAACGATTTTGATTAAACTCGGTGTATCATTGTATAATTAATTAGTCTTTAATATCATTTAGGTCTTATCCCCGTTGATGTCACTTTACAGGGCTTAAATACCTAATCTTCATATGTGTCTTCCTCTAAAGTACCTTTAATATGGTTTATTTTAAGTAATCAACTATCTCTCATTATTAAAAGATACGAAAAAATGGTAAATATAACTTTTGATAATTGAATAAAGGAGAAAAAAAAATAAAAATGCATGTACAGGTCGAAAATGAATCTCCGGAAATACAAGTCAGAAGGTATATGTACAATATATTGTTGGAAAGTGGGGAATTTGTTGTAGAAAGTATCTAAAATCCACCTAAACAAGGCAATGGCATTGTTAAAAAAACTATTTCATTGTACTTGTGTGACGGAGAAGTAAAATATAAAATCATTTCATGGATGCATGAAGTATATGTTCATAACCTTAAATATATTTACTGTAGTTTAGTGATCATAGATCTGATATTATATTTAAATAATTAGGTATCAACATTTATTCCAAAAAATTGTCATGTAACTTTTTAGAAAATTAAATTCGTGAATAATTTGATGAATTTTCCCTTTGTGAAATCCCAACATTATCATATCTTCCTCTAAAGTACCTTTAATTTGGTTTATTATAAATAATAACTGTTTATCATTGTTAGGAGTTATACAAAAATGCTAAATATAACTTTTGGAAGAATTTGATAATTAAATAAAGGAGAAAAAAATAAAAATACTTTTATAGGTCAAAAATGAATCTTCCGAAATACTGGTCAGAAGGTATACATACAATATATTGTTGGAAAGCGGAGAATTTTAGAAAAAACAATATCTAATACAGAAAGTTGTAGAAAGTAACGAAGAGAGGCGAAAAAAATATAAATAATAACATGTTTTCAAGAAAATTAAATGAAATTTTCTTAGTTAATATAAGCTTTCAATTTTTTTTAAAGTTTGAAAAAGTATTTCAAACCAACGGATTCAAGGCAATGACATTGTTTAAGATACTATTTCATTGTATTTGTGTGAAAGAAGTGAAATATAAAAATATTTCATGGATACGTTTTTAACCTTAAATATATTTACTGTAGTTTAATAACTCTAGATCTGACATTATTTTTAAATAATTAGGTATTTATCGTCCGTTTATTCCGAAAAATCATTATGTAACCCTTTAAAAAATGAAATTGGTGAATAATTTGATTGCCTTATAACAATTATCAGTGTTCAGGTTATAAACATTTAATAATAAGAAATATAAATAACAACACTTTAAATAACAAGATAACTGCAGATAGCAGTCCATAGAGGCTGCGTCGCTCACAAGTACCTAACTTTGTAATGGAAAATAACAGTTTAATAGTCGTACAATCCATAATCAACGGATCGAACAATCCATAATCAACGAATCATACAATCTATAATCAACCGGTGATATAATAAATAGTAGTTTTGTTATTTTAATAGTATTTATGATTAGTTAGCTGCAATCTTTTAGCTTTAGCTCAGTTACAAAATGCAATGTCTTGCGCGCACCAGATTTTTTTTTTATCAAACTACAATCAAAAGGTGTTCATTGACATTAATAGCCTTATGTAATTCAAATATAGGTAGGAATGGTTGATTGTCTTCCAGATGGCACAATCCTCATTCCCTAAATAAGTCACATCACAAAGATAAGTCAAATTCAATTTACAGAAGCTAGAATCAAATTAGCAAATAAAAAAAAAAATGACTAAAATAAAAAAAATGTGATTTTCATTGAGAACATTAGAATACTTGATTCTTGTCATTTATTTATTTTTCTTAGGTTTAGAAAAATAACTAGAAAATTACTGAAATAGATGTTGATAAACACAATGATGCCAAAAAAAGTAAATGTTTTAAATAATATACAAAATTATTATCAGCAAAACATATGAATTGACATGTTTATAAAATTATTCCTACTTATTGAGGTACTAGTAACTAGTAAAAAGTGAGCACCATGGTACCAAAATTAGATGCAGATAACATTTTCTTGTTTTTGAATCGTAATTCTCTTATTTATTTAAGTTTTATAACCAGATGATGGCGCAATGCATATGAGGAACATGTCCATCGCTTTCTGAATTGTTCAAAGAATAGCTGAATTTTTAATTTTATGATTAAAGAGTTTTCTTTATCAGGAGGCTGATCGCAATTTGTTAGATCCCACATTTACACATAAAGCATATAACTTTGTCAACATTTTTGATATTTAGCAATTCTTCGACAAAAAAACCTCTGAATTTGATCATGTAATGTTGACAAATTAAAAGAATTAAGTAATTTAATATGTTACTTATTACACGTGTCTCCATAATTAAGAATAATTTTGGTTTCAGATTCACACTATAAAAGTAAATATTCAAACATGTTTGTTAGTTTTATGTTAAACAATTTACTAATTTATGTTTTGTTTTATAAGTAAATATAACAAAAATAAATGTTTCTATAAGTGACATTACTAAAAATGAGTTATAATCTATGTGTGTTCGATTATATTCTACACCTAAATAAAATATAATAAAAACATTGGACTCCATGCCTTCTTGGATTAAAATTTGGCAAATAACCCCTTTTCCTTACTAATAAACAGAAACCGAACCCACCTTTCAATTGAGCGTATGTAAACAACACTATTCAACTTTTGGACTATACAACTATTGTAGTAAACAACAAGCATTGAATAGCTAACAATTGTGAGATTGACTTTTGTCATCCTAAATCAGTCATTTTGCACATTGTGCACCAGTTAATCTGGAGAGCAGGTTAAGCGGAAGTCACTGTACATAAATTTTTCAAATGATATAACTTTCTGATATACTTGTTGAATATAGAGACCATGAGTTAAGCAATATTAATTCTTGTTTTATACAAATAAAAAAGTGAGAGTAATTTCACATGCAAATTTTAAATAATAGAAACCAATAGATATACACAGAAGAAATATTTCTGCAGTAGTTTTTAAAAGTTTTACTTAAACTATTAATATTTTCTGATACAGCAATAGTCTTCAATAATACAAACATTAAATATTAGTCAATGGAAACACTTGACATCTTAGATCTTGCTGTCGAACAAACTTTAAATCAATCAACACAATTACTGCTGATAATACTCAACAATTTCCTGTACATCTACTTATTTAGTATAAATAGAATTAAAGAAATTTAAAGAAGTATTGTGTCAATACCAACAATGCAAGAATAATAATAAACGTGAATGATAGTACGGTTCGCAAATAATACAGTGACAGTGAGTAGGTAACAGATTTTTATTTCTCTAGAATGTGTTAACTCAATGTTAGGTGTTCAGGAATATATATATTGATTACAAAATAACTTGATGAATTGTTCGTAAATTACATGTTAAAACTCACTTAAATAGGACGGTTACAACAGAAGTTAAACTAGATAAATAAATAGACTATTTATAATAGTAGAGCTAAGTATACTGTATACTCCAAACTGTTTAAGTATGTGAAAGTGCTTAAACTCTCCTCTGTGTTCTTCAATGGCATCCTTTTGCCTATTTTATAGACAAATCCGATGCATCGATGAGCTCTGGATTGAATTTAGGAATTTGCCCATATTTACACGGTTTGTTGAATACAGTATCAGTAAGATAAAGTAACATAGGGTGGACCTTACAAATAGTACTATTATAATACTTTGCTAATGACATACAATGGCTACAAATAGGATTCAGTAAACAAAACTAAAGCTTACCTCTTCCCTTAGTTTGAGTAGCAGACATCCTTATCTAAAAGAAGATAAAAATATCAATTTACTAATAAAAAAGGACATAATAAAACCTGAATTAATTAAAAACCTTCTCTGAATAATCTTTAATAATACACTTTTATCAATCCAAACTTCACAGTAACCAAAACATACCATTATCACCTATATACCATTATCACTAAAGTGACTCCAAAATCATAGCTTGTGTATCATTTCTAAAGCATGCCCTTAGTTTCAAAATTGACTTTAATTCATAATATATTGATACTAGAAAATAAATTCTCTGGATGGCAACTACAAATAAAAAATAAACTAACCTAAAAGATGTTTATTTTAGAAATTAAGCCGACATATATAACACTTTCACACAGCTAATGGCTAAATAACATTTATTTCACCACATATAATAAAATAGGAGTACATTCAATTAACCACAGACATATTGGTGGATAAAAGTAAATCACTATCTAATATTGTTTACATCGGCGTAAATCTGTATAGCAAGGTTCAGTAAAATGGTTACAGCGGCTAAACTGGAGAAGATGGATGCCAAGATTTGTTTCAGATAGTATTATTATAACAAATATATACATATTTATCTCGTTGGAAATAATAGCATAACAAAATATTTCATGACATATAATGATTTCATCAACGAATTACTTTAAAAGAGTTATCGGTTGTAACCAAGTAAAATGAAGGTGGGGGGGGGTTGTTTTCTTTAATTAATATATTTTTCACTGTTCATGGCTAGTTAATTTAATTAAGAAAACTAATCAAAGCTATTTATTATTAACTTTTAATTACAGAGATGTATTGGAATTGATCTCTCAACATTTTGAGACATATTATTTGTAAATTTGTATTTCAGAAATTAAAGCTATATTTAAAATTTAGCATTTATTGTAAAAATGAAGTAAGGAATAAGTCAGAGAAAAAAAAATGTTTAAGTAATATTTCATATATTCATAAGCAAATCAGGCAAATTAATTTAATTCTGAAGGTAAATAACAATGGAAGAAATTGTTTAAGTGTATGCCCATCCACAGTTTCCCACTTGATTGATTGACTCAGTGCCAGCGTTAAGACTGGACAATTCCGGCAATTACGCTGATCAAGATTGGCGCCGATCATGAATGATGCCCTTTATTTGTTAGAATTAAACAAAATTTTGAAAGCGTCTGAGATTAATTGATTTTAGGCTATTAAAGCAACTGAATTAGATATATTAAATGATTTTTTTTTTTTTATTAAACGCTTCTGCCGTTGGCTATTAGGCCATTCGGCTCCTGGCAGCAAAATACAACTCCGTCATGAATCCTTTGTTTAAATTTGTTCCGATCGCATCAGAAGTACTGCCTACATCTGACTGAGTGGGGCAAACTGAGAGGTGCGAGTCGTACATCTCGTCCTGTTGGCAAAGAGGGCACACGGGACTTTCCACCACTCCAATCCTATGTAAATGCCTATGCAGGCAATTGTACCCTGTTGCCATGCGGAAATTTACCACCGATTCTTTCCGATTTTTGGTTTGTTTCATCGCCTCCTCTGTTAAACATTCCCATTTTTCCCCGCTGCCTGTCGCTTTTGCCAACTCTTGTTCTCTTCCTTGTAAAATGATTTTAAAATCCTTTTAACAGATTCGTAGGGAGGCGGGGGATTAGTTTGTGGCTTTTCCGAGGCGATCCGTGCGACCTCATCAGCTTTTTCGTTTCCTGGTAGCCCACAATGGCTTGGAACCCATTGGAAAGCCACTCGGATTCCTTTTTTAATTAAGTTATTAATCCGATTTCTGGCACTAGTGACATCAGGATGGTCCAGGCCATTGCAGATCGACAGTATGGCTGCTTGTGAATCGACAAAGATCACAACACGGGAATAGGTGAGTTCTTTATCTATTTCAGTCAATTCTGCCGAAATTGCTTTGACTTCTCCATCAAAGTTTGTTCCCCGGCTACAGCAGGGATATGAAACATGAAATCTTGGCAGTATACTCCTGCTCCTGCATTCCGAGTAGCTGCTTGAGCGGAGCCGTCGGTGTATATTGGAGCCAATTCTGCGTTGCTTATATTAAATGAAATAAAATTCACATATTACTTAATTTAAAACACCTTTTATTTCGGTTGAAGCTCCAGACCTTGTAGATCTTTGACTGCGAGATATGGCCTTCTTGACCACATCTCGATTCCTGATTTGAGTACACGGGAATAGAGTCATCAGTCGTACGCCCGGTCGGTGTGAGTTGCCTCCAGTAGGCTGACGGGCCTCACAAACCCAGGAGGGGGAGGGTCTCGGGCAGCGTGGCTTTCTCTAGTGGACGGTCACCCGTCCAAGTGCTAACCACTTTCGGCGTTATTTAACTTGGTTACCTATTGCAAGCCCCTTAGGCCGCACGGCTACCCCAGCCCCTTTTTAAACACCTTAAGAAATATAATTTTGCTATTGAGTTGTCAGTACTGCAACTCGTTTTGATGGTTTATTTTTCAAGAAATGTTTCAAAATGGTGGTATTTTTTTTTTATTCTTTATTCCAGTTACCACATCTTACATTCTGAAAACATAAATCATAATAGTTATGAAAATAATATCAATGGCTTGTCCAAAGTTGATTGCCTGGTTTTGAACGTATGTGGATTTGATTCCCACCTGGGTTAGTTAATTTCATTTCTCGGCTGCCTCGGGATGTGAATTGTGACATTCTTATTCTTTTATTTATTTAAGGCCTTCCGTGCCATTGAGACAATATGGATTTTGCAGAACTAAGTTGTTATGCATGACTGCACAATGTCCTACACCTGCATACAACTAATTTTTATATTATAATCAGCATACTATTTGCTTTTATCTGTGTGCTCTTTTGTTTCTGTGTGTTTCTTATTGCGCTCATCCTCCTCCTCGTTCTGGTGGCCTTGCAGGAGCGGGTCCTCTTCTTGTGAAGTTGAAGTGTGCTGGACTTACTGCTTCTTTCCACCCGTACCCGGAGAGTGAGAGTGAGAGTGAGAATGAGAGTAAGAGAGAGGGATAATTTATACATATTATTTATACTTTATACATAGCATACTGACCAATCCATATGAACAGCTCCTACATTTCATTATTCCATGATTATAGGAACATATCATTTTTTTTTTTGTCCTCCCTTTTCGTAACACTAATAATATTCACTAATATGCCACATTAAACGATTATCACTATTATTACATTATACATTATTTATAATTCATGTATATACATCACATAAATTATCACATTATATTTTAGATGTAATTTTTAAATATTTGTTTCATAAGAGGTAATTATATTTTCCCATTTTGAGGAGGACTTCAGCCTGAAACATAAATAATTTAATAAATAAAAACATATTATAGTAAAAATAAAACACAATATTCAATAAATAATACAAGTCAAAATTATTTTTACACTTTATTATTATGATTATAAATTTAATCTATTATTGAAATCAATTTAAGTTGAAGCTTTTATTAATATTTAATAGCATAGCCTGTGTCAAAAAAAAAAAAAAGAAGAAAAAAAGAACTAGGCAGAAAGGAAAATTATAGTAAGCCTACACACTGAGTGCTAGATCATTCTGTGAAATCTAAAAAAATAATGTGAACAAGAGGTGCCCAGAAGGAGGTTTCCTGATGCAAGTTGCGTCATCAAAATGTTTGAGGGGGACACATTTTGAATAATTTTGAATTTGTTAGGAGGCACATTTTGACGGGGCTATGAATTTTTGGAGTGAAAGGAGTTTCAAAAAGAGAACTAGAAGGAAAACATGGGATAGACCACAGCAAGTGTAATTGTATTTTAAGAAGAGGAGAGTAGTAAAACTTTGGAGAGGAGGGATTATTCATAGGCCATCGACTTAGGGGGGATTTGGGCACCCCTAGTGTAAACGTTCCTTTAAGTACATTATTGACCAATATAGAATACGAATGACTTATATCTCTGATTCACAAACAGGATACCCTAGGAATATTACTTTCAGAGCTGAAAGCAATATTGTCCTATAGATGGAAAAAACAAAACATGTATTAGTGCCTAAATTAATGGAGCAACATTTTATTGAAACAGATGAACTGATGGGTGTTTCAATCGTGCAATGATGTTTAGAAAAAAATAAATTTAAAAACAGATGAGTTCAGCAAAAGCTCTCATAAATATGGTCAATGAAAAAAAAGGCATCTGTGGACAAAAGAAAATATAAAAAAAAGTATTAATTTTTGGATGAATATAATATTGAATGAAGTATGGAACAGTGGCATTTTCGCTCAAATTTGGAAAACATCTATCAGTACCAATCCGGAAAAAAAAAATGTAGCAATCATCCAAACGACTTTCGCCCGGTATCCCTGTGTTCGTTCTTATCTAAACTTCAGGAGAAAATGTTACACACCTGACTGGTCAATATTATTCAAAGAAAAATTATTTCTTACCTGCCAGTTTGGTTTTAGATAAAACTTCTCCAGCATTGATCCTGATCTAACAATATAGGGAAAATCATGAGAAGCTTTCTCTCGGAAGGGACATTTAATCAGTATTTCTTTGGACCTTGATAAGAGTTAGATCATCATGTGGAGAGAAAACGTTTTGCAAATATTACAAGATTAGCAAATTAATGGAAATATTTATTATAGTTTCTAATGGATAGAAAGTTTTATGTACGAATAGGAAATTCGTATTCATCAACCCACATGCTGAAAAACGGTACCCCTCAAGACTCTCCACTTAGGGTTACCCTTTTCTTAATAACCACTAATGTATTGGCATCTATTTTTGAGAGACAAACCAAAGTTTTATTTGCTAACGATATTCTTCTCTTTACATATAGTAAATTGATCAACTTCATTGAAGGATGATGCAAAAAGTATTAAACAGAGCAGAGGAATGGTTTAAAAAAAATGGTGGGTTTGTTATATCTACATCTACATGCATAATCTACATTAAGAACTAATGCAATGCATATATATATCATTTCAAAGGTTGTACTCAGAATCCTCAATTTTCTATGGGAATGAACAATATAACATTTACTGACAAACGGAAACATTTAGATAATGTGTGGATAGGAATTAAACTTGGACCAGCCACATCAAACATCTCAAGGTTGATTGCTTATAAGGATTGGGTTTACTTGTATTCATTAACATCCCTGGTGCTGATGAAGAAAGTTACAAAGTCATTGTAATAAGATAACTTTCAGGAAAAAATGATAAAGTAAATAGTGAATTTATCTTTATGTAGCAATTTCTAAGACAATAAAGAACATTTTATAGAACATTTAGACTTTTTTTTATAGTGTTAA